TTTTTTTCTACAATTGTAAAGTTATTTTTTGTGAAGATTAAAATTTAAGGTGACATTACAAAACAGCCACTCCATCCTTGTATATGTTTGACCTAGAGACCAGTATAACACATTCCGTACGGAAGTAAACGGATTTCGTAATATATTCACCTAAAATTGTGTAAAATGATTCTTTACTTTTTTTGTTTTTAGCTCACCTGACCTGAAAGGTCAAGTGAGCTTTTCTCATCACTTTGCGTCCGTCGTCCGTCGTCCTGCGTCCGTCGTCCGTCGTCCGTCGTCCGTAAACTTTTACAAAAATCTTCTCCTCTGAAACTACTGGGCCAAATTTAACCAAACTTGGCCACAATCATCATTGGGGTATCTAGTTTTAAAAATGTGTGGCGTGACCCTGTCAACCAACCAAGATGGCCGCCACGGCTAAAAATAGAACATAGGGGTAAAATGCAGTTTTTAGCTTATAACTCAAAAACCAAAGCATTAAGAGCAAATCTGACATGGGGTAAAATTGTTCATCAGGTCAAGATCTATCTGCCCTGAAATTTTCAGATGAATCGGACAACCCGTTATTGGGTTGCTGCCCCTGAATTGGTAATTTTAAGGAAATTTTGCTGTTTTTGGTTATTATCTTGAATATTATTATAGATAGAGATAAACTGTAAACAGCAATAATGTTCAGCAAAGTAAGATTTACAAATAAGTCAATATAACCGAAATGGTCAGTTGACCCCTTTAGGAGAAATTGCCCTTTATAGTCAATTTTTAACCATTTTTCGTAAATCTTAGTAATCTTTTACAAAAATCTTCTCCTCTGAAACAACTGGGCCAAATTAAACCAAACTTGGCCACAATCATCATTGGGGTATCTAGTTTAAAAAATGTGTGGCGTAACCCGGCCAACCAACCAAGATGGCCGCCACAGCTAAAAATAAAACATAGGGGTAAAATGCAGTTTTTGGCTTATAACTCAAAAACCAAAGCATTTAGAGCAAATCTGACATGAAGTAAAATTGTTTATCAGGTCAAGATCTATCTGCCCTAAAATTTTCAGATGAATCGAACAACCTGTTGTTGGGTTGCTGCCCCTGAATTGGTAATTTTAAGGAAATTTTGCTGTTTTTGGTTATTATCTTGAATATTATTATAGATAGAGATAAACTGTCAACAGCAATAATGTTCAGCAAAGTAAGATTAACAAATAAGTCAACATGACTGAAATGGTCAGTTGACCCCTTTAGGAGTTATTGCCCTTTATAGTCAATTTTTAACAATTTTTCGTAAATCTTAGTAATCTTTTACAAAAATCTTCTACTCTGAAACTACGTGGCCAAATTAAACCAAACTTGGCAACAATCATCATTTGGTTATCTAGTTTTAAAAATGTGTGGCGTGACCTGGTCAACCAACCAAGATGGCCGCCACGGCTAAAAATAGAACATAGGGGTAAAATTCAGTTTTTGGCTTTTAACTCAAAAACCAAAGCATTTAAAGCAAATCTGACATGGGGTAAAATTGTTCAGCAGGTCAAGATCTATCTGCCCTGAAATTTTCAGATGAATCGGACAACCCGTTATTGGGTTGCTGCCCCTGAATTGGTAATTTTAAGGAAATTTTGCTGTTTTTGGTTATTATCTTGAATATTATTATAGATAGAGATAAACTGTAAACAGCAATAATGTTCAGCAAAGTAAGATTTACAAATAAGTCAACATTACCGAAATGGTCAGTTGACCCCTTTAGGAGTAATTGCCCTTTATAGTCAATTTTTAACCATTTTTCGTAAATCTTAGTAATCTTTTACAAAAATCTTCTCCTCTGAAACAACTGGGCCAAATTAAACCAAACTTGGCCACAATCATCATTTGGTTATTTGGTTTTAAAAATGTGTGGCGTGACCTGGTCAACCAACCAAGATGGCCGCCACGGCTAAAAATAGAACATAGGGGTAAAATTCAGTTTTTGGCTTTTAACTCAAAAACCAAAGCATTTAAAGCAAATCTGACATGAAGTAAAATTGTTTATCAGGTCAAGATCTATCTGCCCTGAAATTTTCAGATGAATCGGACAACCCGTTGTTGGGTTGCTGCCCCTGAATTGGTAATTTTAAGGTAATTTTGCTGTTTTTTGTTATTATCTTGAATATTATTATAGATAGAGATAAACTGTAAACAGCAATAATGTTCAGCAAAGTAAGATTTACAAATAAGTCAATATAACCGAAATGGTCAGTTGACCCCTTTAGGAGTAATTGCCCTTTATAGTCAATTTTTAACCATTTTTCGTAAATCTTAGTAATCTTTTACAAAAATCTTCTCCTCTGAAACAACTGGGCCAAATTCAACCAAACTTGGCCACAATCATCATTTGGTTATTTGGTTTTAAAAATGTGTGGCGTGACCTGGTCAACCAACCAAGATGGCCGCCACGGCTAAAAATAGAACATAGGGGTAAAATTCAGTTTTTGGCTTTTAACTCAAAAACCAAAGCATTTAAAGCAAATCTGACATGAAGTAAAATTGTTTATCAGGTCAAGATCTATCTGCCCTGAAATTTTCAGATGAATCGGACAACCCGTTATTGGGTTGCTGCCCCTGAATTGGTAATTTTAAGGTAATTTTGCTGTTTTTGGTTATTATCTTGAATATTATTATAGATAGAGATAAACTGTAAAAAACGATAAATGTCGGCAAAGTAAGATCTACAAATAAGTCAACATGACCGAAATTGTCAGTTGACCCCTTTAGGAGTTATTGCCCTTTATAGTCAATTTTAACCATTTTTTCGTAAATCTTAGTAATCTTTTACAAAAATCTTCTCCTCTGAAACTACTGGGCCAAGTTAATTATAGATAGAGATAATTGTAAGCAGGAAAAATGTTCAGTAAATTAAGATGTACAAACACATCACCATCACCAAAACACAATTTTGTCATGAATCCATCTGCGTCCTTTGTTTAATATTCACATAGACCAAGGTGAGCGACACAGGCTCTTTAGAGCCTCTAGTTAAAATTTTATATTTTTTATCATAAAATATAACATATCGAGTCGTCCTGCATTATTTATTATATCGCTGTATGCAATTTACTATGAAAAAGAGTTGTCAACATACAGTTTTAGGATAAGAATGAAATATAACAGTATGAATATGTGGTATGGTTGCAAAATGATATAACGTGCCATCATTACATTATTAAGTCAGCTTTCGACCTTGAACATTGGGCAAAGCCAGTACCATATAGTAAGCTATAAACGGTTCCAACAAGATTTAGTGTGCAATAAATCAAAAGAGAAACCAACAGAGCCACTCTCATATCACTCGTGTGTAATAACTGACTAATGTTCACGTTATGTTTTACAACTTTTGACCACATTGTTTATGTAGTGCTATATGCAATAACGTTATCGGTACCAATTTTATAGCACCAGATAAGCATTTCGTCAGTTAATTTCTCTTCAATGATTCCCGAGGCCAGAATATTTGAAAATCCAAAACCAGGCAAGAAATCATAGCTTTGCATGTGTTAAACGTCTGTAGGTCATGTAAACATGTTTTAGACAACAGTTTGTTTTTATTTGGACTGCTCATAAATCCCTCCAAAAATAACAGCCAATTTGTGAAAAAAATCGTACCAACATATGATTTATGGGGCTAAACATGGACATTCATGACACCAGACAACATTTTTGTTTATTGGGCATTCAAGATAAATACGATACAACTTAATATATTGAACCCCAAAAGGATGATCATTATTGCGATTCTACATCATGAACATTAGTTTTTCCTAAGGTTTTCTCGTTGATAGCGTTCGAAGCAAAGATGTAATACCACCATTGATGTTCCCCTATTAGTCTTTTATTAAATTTGCACTTTTCAAAAAAAAGTGCAGAATTTATCTTTGTTTCAAATAAAGAACTACTTGGCATGAGTAAAGTTTTATCCTGTCCAGAACTAAAGACCAAATGTCACATAATATTTCATTGCATACAAGAAAATAACTATAACAGGAAGTTAACCTATCAAAATGGGTCAGTTCAATAGTTTGAGAAAAAAATTTAGTATAATGTAAAACGACATCTACAGCGATTTGAGCAAAATTTCTTCAAAAAATCCAAATCAAGCCGCATCATGATAGAATATAGTGTGGACCAATAAATGATAAATGATAAAATATTAATCTCATGTGCCTGCAAACAGTTGAATATGATACAAAAGATGACTTTTGGATGATGAATACCACTAATGGACCTCTTCGTCTGCATTATTAGGTATCTCTCGGTCCATATATACCTCTCATTTCTTCAAAATTTCAACTTTTTAGGTCAATAAATTAAAATTTTAGGGTTACGTTCACTCATTTATTCTATAAATATTATAATGAAAGAGTTAAAGAAGTATTCAAGCTGAATGAACTATCTATTTAAAAGTTTTCTGTCTCCATGGAGGTTTCAATAAGTCATTTCGTAAAACTTAAAATAACGCCGCGTTCCAGAGAGGGACATAAAAAGATTCTCTTTTAGTGAATAATTTGTTGTTACTGCTTTAAAAATAATTTCATTTACTTATATAACAATATATTTATCAAAGTATTACTTAGGAAAAATTTTCTATAATAGCAGAATATGGAGAAAAAGCTCCCCAAAACACTGAGTATGGATTGCTCTGTCTACCAATAGTAGAGGCTTATTTCAAGGACATTTTCTTCTTAAATGTGTTTTTGAGACTCAATGCACTCAGAAAATTTCATTTGTTGTAATATTTCACTTAAATAGAAAGAAATTTTAACAAATGAAAGTACTCAAAAGGTCAAAGGTGCATGTGCAGCTTCCCATAAACAAGGAGTGCAAATTTTACCAGGACATAGTACACATAATCTGTGTCCCGCCTATAGCTATACAACGAACGATGAAATGTCTAGAGTTATATTTATATGTTTAATATTTGACCGTTTGTGGTCGTATCATGCTTTGCTCTACATTGTATTATATCAATTTTAGAATCACCAATAAAACAAAACAAACGAAAAAGAATCCTTACAATGGAAGAATCATTGAAACATGTCAAAATGTCAGATGCTCTCAGACGTAAAATTGTCCATCAATTGGAATTTGGTGAGACCTCAATGGCATCCTCGTCTGATGAAACAACGGAACACAGAAAAATTGTTTCTGCAAATCAAAACATAGGTATGAATGATAAGTACAAGAATGTTCCATAAATTGAAATACATTGTTTTTGGTAAGGAATACTCCATATGCTGTTCAATAGCACCATGTGTTAATGTGCGTATTCCTGGCTAAGCTCTAAGTCAGCGATAAGATAATGATAAAAAGCTTTAGATATGGGTACCAATTTATTAGCCTTGTATCTTTATTGAGATTTTACAAAAGTTATATTTGGCTTTTTATGTTGCTTGCGTGTTGTCTCGTTTACCTACATCTCAGTGGGAAATCTATTGTCAGAATATAACCTACCCAGTAAACTCAGAAATCTTGATCTTTTCAATCATTTTACCTCGGATGCTATTAATTATCAATTCACAACGTACTGGTAAAGAGTAACAATGAAATAAAAGTGAAATAAACTAACCTTGCATATAATATCATTTCCCTCCTAAAATATCAAATGACGAACACTATAGGAATTTTGTGTAGAATTGGTTAAAAATGCTACTATTGGTTTAAAATGTTGCTTTGTGAATACATTCCTGGAGTACCTACTACAATGTGTTTCCTTTAGCTCTATACTTCTCTGATACAAGTATATGTATGCAGCAACATCAGAGAAGTTCTGGAAAAAAAATTCAAATGGAAACAATTGATATGGAGTAAAGATTAACTTTTTTGAAATTAAGTTACTGACCTAATCCAGACGAACCTTATCGCGATTTAAACATTGAACGTGAACAGATCTTAAAGACCGGCAATAATCGAACATAAATCGAGATGACCTTTTCTTAAAATTGTATAAAGAATAGTAATATTCTTTTAACGGACAATCTACTTTATAAAAATATTTATCCTTAATGTTGCAACCTGCACAGGCATTATTTTTAAATTGTTATATTCACGACAAGTTTAAAGTTCACGCGACAAGAGGAAATCCGTGTACTCGAAAACTTCAGATGTGAAAAATAGGTATATTTTGGGAAATTGTAAAAGGCTAAAAACCTATGTGGAAAACTCAGAAATGTTTGACCTGAAAGATCTTTAAATTTTGTATGTACATGATTTTTTCATTTTCTTTTTTAATAATCAGCATAGAATACAATTTTTTTAAATTTCAGTTTCACAAGCTTCTAATGCAATTACCTTTGTGTCTTTGATTTATATTTCTAATACCATAGTTTAGCAAATCGTTTCTTTCAAATAAACGATCGTTGTTTAGAAATAACTTTTGATCAGTATCGTCACCGCTATTGTTTTACTATTGATTTTTTCAACAGTTTCTCAGGAAAAGTGAATTTTCCGTTGTTACCGACCAGCGGTTTAGGCACGGGTCTCTCTTGCTTTAAGGGAAAACGGTACTATTTATTCTGCCATAGCCGACAATACTAACATTTTCAAAATTTACCACTTTTTATAATAAAAACCTGGATAAAACAGTTATGTGTGGTGTTAGTACTTTTTTATTCTGTTTTAAAAATTGAAGCCAAATAGTATCATGACCAACTTCCAACGGAGCTTGTTTATGTTATCCATGCCCACCGTCCTTTTACGCCAAATTTATGAAATTTTGGAAGTCTTTTCGAATAATTCTCTAGAAAATATTTCAATAGGTTTCACAATTTATATTGTAAATATACATACTGCAGTTATTCATAGATAAATAAAAAAATATATTGTACCCTTACATCCAATCACAGCGCTCCCAAGTTGACTTCCTTCACCTGCCTTGGGTACACAAAAGGCCAACCTAATGCTGGGAAAATGTAATAGTACCGTTTTCCCTATACTGTGACATAAAGATATAAAGAATTCTTATGACACCATTAATGCAATACTGGGTTATTGTGAAAACCTTGGCTATAATAAATACTTGTATGTCCCCATTACTTAAAGAAACATGGATCATTTTATGTCCCCAACCCTACATGCTGGTTTACCTCTTTCTCTGCTTCTTTCAGATAAGGCTTAATAAACAACCTGTATCCAATCATATCTTATCTTATTTAAAAAGAATAATAAACAGTTCCATTTAAACAGATAAAAATGACGGTTCCATTTAATTTGTATTCATTTTATCCAAAATTTACAACATAAGCACAAATTCAAGATTGTTCATACTAATCGCCATTCCATGCTTAAGTATATGCCATATGGTGGTTCAAAATTTCAGAGCTTGTTATAAAATCCATTATTCTGTCTTGAGATGCTAGAACAAAGATATTAGACACTTAAAACATTAAATATGCAAAATAATCAGCTGTGAAGTTGCGTTTGCTGCCTGTATTAATCTATGAAAAAGCTGAATTATGTCCCTTGGGAGTACTAATTTCCCACAAAAGTCCTTTCAAACAGTAGAAAATGAAAGATTATATATGCCTGATATAATAAAAGATAGAAACTACAAAATGAAGCACTATTGAAATATTTGCTGCATGAATTGCCAAGATTGTGAACAATTCTTTACACAGGAGAGTATAAATTCTATCTAAATTTAGCCTCAAGTGGGCCTCTTTTTTTCTTAGATGGACAATTATAACACTGAAAATGCTTCTAGTATGACCAAATATTGTCTTACTCCATAAACAGTACAAACTTAACCAGACAATTTCCCATTTTAATAGATTATGTCTAGAGAAATACCCAAGTGATACATTTAGGGAATTACACAGCAAAAAAAGGCAAATATTTCAGTTAAAAATATTTGTCGCGACTTGAATTCTGGTGTTTCCAATTGAATTAATCATTGCGAAAGGTGAAAACAAATACAAAAGAACTATAGTTTGGTGCATTTTATACAATATAGTTAATATTGAAATCCTAGAATAAAGTTTTATATCAGTACCCATCAATTTGACTTATTATGATGACTCAGCACTTTTCTCAACACAGTATTGTTCTCAGGGAAAAATTTCTATTCTTTGTGATAAAAATCAAATGTTCTAATCAAAAGCTTCAAAATAGTATAATATAACTGAAGTCTGATTGATTTTGAATTCCCTTGCTATCTTCAGTATAGGGAAAACGGTACTATTTATTCTGCCATAGCCGACAATACTAACATTTTCAAAATTTACCACTTTTTATAATAAAAACCTGGATAAAACAGTTATGTGTGGTGTTAGTACTTTTTTATTCTGTTTTAAAAATTGAAGCCAAATAGTATCATGACCAACTTCCAACGGAGCTTGTTTATGTTATCCATGCCCACCGTCCTTTTACGCCAAATTTATGAAATTTTGGAAGTCTTTTCGAATAATTCTCTAGAAAATATTTCAATAGGTTTCACAATTTATATTGTAAATATACATACTGCAGTTATTCATAGATAAATAAAAAAATATATTGTACCCTTACATCCAATCACAGCGCTCCCAAGTTGACTTCCTTCACCTGCCTTGGGTACACAAAAGGCCAACCTAATGCTGGGAAAATGTAATAGTACCGTTTTCCCTATACTGTGACATAAAGATATAAAGAATTCTTATGACACCATTAATGCAATACTGGGTTATTGTGAAAACCTTGGCTATAATAAATACTTGTATGTCCCCATTACTTAAAGAAACATGGATCATTTTATGTCCCCAACCCTACATGCTGGTTTACCTCTTTCTCTGCTTCTTTCAGATAAGGCTTAATAAACAACCTGTATCCAATCATATCTTATCTTATTTAAAAAGAATAATAAACAGTTCCATTTAAACAGATAAAAATGACGGTTCCATTTAATTTGTATTCATTTTATCCAAAATTTACAACATAAGCACAAATTCAAGATTGTTCATACTAATCGCCATTCCATGCTTAAGTATATGCCATATGGTGGTTCAAAATTTCAGAGCTTGTTATAAAATCCATTATTCTGTCTTGAGATGCTAGAACAAAGATATTAGACACTTAAAACATTAAATATGCAAAATAATCAGCTGTGAAGTTGCGTTTGCTGCCTGTATTAATCTATGAAAAAGCTGAATTATGTCCCTTGGGAGTACTAATTTCCCACAAAAGTCCTTTCAAACAGTAGAAAATGAAAGATTATATATGCCTGATATAATAAAAGATAGAAACTACAAAATGAAGCACTATTGAAATATTTGCTGCATGAATTGCCAAGATTGTGAACAATTCTTTACACAGGAGAGTATAAATTCTATCTAAATTTAGCCTCAAGTGGGCCTCTTTTTTTCTTAGATGGACAATTATAACACTGAAAATGCTTCTAGTATGACCAAATATTGTCTTACTCCATAAACAGTACAAACTTAACCAGACAATTTCCCATTTTAATAGATTATGTCTAGAGAAATACCCAAGTGATACATTTAGGGAATTACACAGCAAAAAAAGGCAAATATTTCAGTTAAAAATATTTGTCGCGACTTGAATTCTGGTGTTTCCAATTGAATTAATCATTGCGAAAGGTGAAAACAAATACAAAAGAACTATAGTTTGGTGCATTTTATACAATATAGTTAATATTGAAATCCTAGAATAAAGTTTTATATCAGTACCCATCAATTTGACTTATTATGATGACTCAGCACTTTTCTCAACACAGTATTGTTCTCAGGGAAAAATTTCTATTCTTTGTGATAAAAATCAAATGTTCTAATCAAAAGCTTCAAAATAGTATAATATAACTGAAGTCTGATTGATTTTGAATTCCCTTGCTATCTTCAGTATAGGGAAAACGGTACTATTTATTCTGCCATAGCCGACAATACTAACATTTTCAAAATTTACCACTTTTTATAATAAAAACCTGGATAAAACAGTTATGTGTGGTGTTAGTACTTTTTTATTCTGTTTTAAAAATTGAAGCCAAATAGTATCATGACCAACTTCCAACGGAGCTTGTTTATGTTATCCATGCCCACCGTCCTTTTACGCCAAATTTATGAAATTTTGGAAGTCTTTTCGAATAAT